CCTCTACCTCTGGAGGTTGTGGGCTCACCTGTACTTCAGCCTCTGTCTCTTGCCCAAGAGAGCAGGGAAACTTCCATTAATTCCCCAGTCCAGCCAACTGTAGAGTGGTTGAATTTCTGCTGCCTCCCAGGGACCAAGACTGCCTTGGGACAGTCCCTGTTTTCCTGCACTTTTTGGCCTTGGGGCAGCTGGGAACTGTAGGCCAGCAGATGAGGAAGCCCCATTCAACCCAGTGAATGATACTCCCGCAGGCCTCTCTCTGAAACTACAGCTCAATTAAACCTGATGGGGGAACATTTTAAACAAAGAACCACAGCCATCTTACAAACACAGGTAACTGCCATTTCGTTACACCTACCAACAGCCACTGAGGAAAGAGTTATTCCCACGCAGAAGGCAAGAAGGAGAAGTGTCTTCGTCAAGAGGGAAAGCCATTCTGACAGGACACAGTGGCTGAAGGGGGAGTGGGTGGGGAAGAGGAGCAGACCCAGCACCCGGAACTCAGCCATTGGCACACCGTCACAGTGACAGGTCAGGGAGCCAAAGGTTGTGGGAGCATGTGGAATGTTCAGAAAAGAGTCACACAAAAAGAGGATCTCTCCCTTATAATAATTGAATAGTGGGGACCAAAGTTCTAAAATGCCCACCTTTAGTGTTAGGCCGGAAGAACGGCCACTCAGAAGACACTGGCTGGGTTGACTGGCTGCTTTGTGCAGTCCCGCCCAGCGTTCCAAGGTCATTTGCATATGGAAGCTGATTGGACTTCACTCCATTCCACACCTCACACTCACCCCCCCCCCGCAAGGCAGTTGGAATTTTCAGTTGGGGGAGGAGAATGATGTCAGCTGCTCCCTAGGCAGAGGCTGTGTGTGTGTGTGTGGGGGGGGGTTGTAAAGACAGACAGGCAGATAAACGTTGGCTGATGGTTGCCAACTCCCGGTTCGAACTCCAGGACATAGGGTTGCCAACTCCAGGTTGGAAACTTCCAGGATATTTTAGGGATGAAGCCTGCTGAGGGTGGAATCTGAGGAGGAGGAGGAAGAGGGGGACCTCAGACAGATACAATGCCATGCTGCCCACACTCCAGACAAGCTGTTGCCAGTCTCCAGGTGACAGCTGGAGAGATCTTATAGCTTTGGTGCTACTTCAAAGTTCCCCAGGAGCCCAAAACAGAGTAGTGTTTTGGAAAATCTTTAGGAATTGTTTGGTGCATTTACGATGGGGCTCCTGGGGAACTATTGTTGCCAATCTTGGCCCAGCAGCCATCAAACCATTCTCTTCAACCCCCTGCTGTGCAGCTGACTTTCCCCTAGGGTTGCCAATCTCCAGGTGGGACCTGGAGATCTCCCACTGTTACAATTGATCTCCAGATGACAGAGATCAGTTCCCCTGGAGAAAATGGATGCTTTGGAGGGTAGACCCTATGACATTATACCTGCTGAGTCCTTCCGCACCCCTGCCCAATGCTGCCCTCTACAGAATCCACCCCCCAAACCTCCAGGTATTTCCCTCCTTAGAGCTGGCAACCCTACATTCCCCTCAGTGCCTGTTGGTAGGCAACTAAGCTTGGTCCTGTCACCTACTTTGGCCTTTGGGAGAAAACACATTGGGGCCAGTCCTGATAGGGTTGCCAACTCCAGATGGGAAATTCCTGGATATTTGAGGGATGGAGCCTGAAGAGGGTGAGGTTTGAGGAGGGGTGGGACCTCAGACAGGTACACTGCCATAGACTCCACCCTCCAAACCAGTCAGTCCCACATAGGAAACCATTGTTGCCAATCTCCAGGTGAGGGCTGGAGAGCACTCAGAATTACAACTGCTCTGCAGAAGGGAGGGCAGAAGTCAGCTGAAGTCAAAGGGGCAGATAATGGTAGGTTGATGGTTAGCTGGGAAGGAGATGGGGTTGCCAACTACATGCTGACAAATTCCTGGGGATTTGAGGGGTGGAGCCTGGAGAGGGTGGGGTTTGCAGAGGGGTGGGACCTCAGACAGGTAGAATGCCATAGACTACACCCTCCAAACCAGCCACTTTGTCCTGGGTAACAATTGCTGCCAATCTCCAGGTGAGGGCTACAGATCACTCACAATTACAACTGCTCTTCAGGTAGCAGAGATCAGTTCCTCTGGAGAAAACAGTGGACTCTGTCATTATATCCTGCTGAGGTCACCACAGCAAATTGACACTGTTTGCCCAAAGCCAGAGCACTGCCCCAGAGCCTCTTTCTTGATCCTGTTGTATTGCTTTCACAACAGGCTTTACTGCTAGTTATATATAAGGAGAGATGACCCAGCCTCACACACAGGATTCTTTTGTCTCCAGAACCTTGACATAATCAACAACCTACATCAGGCTCTCGAGTCACTGACTATCACCACCATAGATAGATGAAGTATATAAATGAAGAACACAAATATGAACAGTCAAAAGAAATAACAAAAGCCAATGACAATGGTTACGTAACAATGAATTATGCAATAGCCTAATCTCCCACTGACCTGCAGCCCATCTTCTTGAAAAACTAAGCTAAGACCTCTAAGTTACCCCATGTATCTTATTCTGGACCTTTTCCCTCACCCCAGCCCCAGAGCTCCCATAATGTAATCCTTCCATCAGAGGAACTTCCAAAAATATCCCAGTAAGGAAAAACCAAAGAGAGAAAAGAATACGTATAAGCAGGGCTCTCTCTCTCTCTCTCTCTCTCTCTCTTGAAAAAGAAGTACAGGAACTCTCAAAAGGGAAACGAAGTTTTCAGTCTGTATACTGAGACTTATGAACTTTTAAACATTTTAAAAGGAATTTTGTCCAAGAGTTTCCGTGTTCCCCCCCCAAAAGCCCTGCATATAAGAAGTAAATGAGTTTTTTAAAAAAGAAGTAAAGCAACAGAGTAGCACAAAAGGCTGGAAAGAAAAGCTAGAAAGAAACAAAGCAATAAGGCAATACAAGCAACATGAAATGAGGAGAGTGGGACTAAGATAGGAAAATGTTTTCGAAATTCAGGGACAAAAGTCTGCTCATAGTTTGTACTCATCTAGTCGCCATTACATTTTTTTTCATTGATCAAAAGCTTCCCATTTTTAGGAGAAGTGACAACTTTTTCCTCCTTATCCAGTTATCCAGATTTATTATCTAATTATTTTCTTTAGGATCTTTAACATGACTGGTATCTTCCAAGAAAATTCCTTTCCTTGTTCATTGGAACCCTTTTAATTGTCCGTCCCATCTTCATTACCACACATAGGTGCAAACAAGGCTTACCCTTCAAGCAACTCTGCAGCTCCTCAACTTTATGTCACTGATATAATGTTGTCTTCTCACTGAACAAAATGTTGAGTTATCATCTTCATCCAGCCTTCACTGCACCTCTGAGCTCCTGAGATGACATGCTTAGGCTGCTTTCACTTATAAAACATTCTTTTTGTGTATCATAGCTAGGGCTGTAACAGGCCAAACTCAGGGATGGGGTGATTTCTACGGTTGAATAAATACGGATGTTTGGCCACAAGGACAGTTGCATCAACTCACCTTAATACTTGTGGTGTTTAATATCACTTATAGAGTTACTCTGAGCTCCTAGAATTCTAGTAAAAGCTGCTGACCTCACAGTCAACATTTGTTGCCTTTGGCTTTCTGTATTCTATATTTAAGTCCTATTAAGTTATTGGTTTTCCAGAGTGTGACAATCAATACATTAAGAAATGTTCTGCCAGTCTGACCTGTAATTCTTGCGTGAGAAATGCAGTGCCAAATAATTACCTTTCAAATTTATTCCTTAGAGGAAGAAAAGGGAAAAAAGGTAATTCAAGAAAAGAAAGCTATTCCTGAAGTTAAAAAGAAAGGTAGGATATTTATGGTTTTAAAGTGTGACAAACCTGATCTTCAAAGGACTCTGCCTACTGTAATTTCTTGAGATACAAAAACAAATCATCATTTATTTATTCATGTCTTAGAAGTGGAAAAGGAAAAGAAGGTAATCCATGAGAAGAAAATTATTCCTGCCACTGAAAAGAAAGGTAGGCTGCTGAGAGGTTTTGCAAAACATTTAATGAACAGCAACTGTATGAAGAGTGTGTACAGCTTGATAGGGTGGATTCAAATGGCCAAACAGCAACTTTTTACTTGATTACAATTAAGGTTACCAACCTCCAGGTGGGGGCTGGAGTTATCACAGAATTACAAGCAATCTCCAGCCAACAGAGATCAGTTCCTCGAAGAAAATGGCTGCTTTGGACGGTGGTTTCTATGGCATTATATGGCTCTGAGGTCTCTCTCTTCCCCAACTCCACCATCCCCAGGCTCTACCCTCATATCTCAAGGAATTTCTCAACCTTGAATTGGCAACCCTATGTGAAATGGCATTCCTAATGAGCAGGGGTTGTTTGGGGCTAAAGCGCCGGAGCGCTGCTCCAGGAGCCCAGGAGTGGGAACAAATGGCGGTGGCGGCAAGCCCCGCCCCCACCCCCACCCCCACGCTCCTTTGCTCTAGAGTCATGCCGCAGCGGCGGCACAAGCTCTCCATTCTATTCTATGGCCCCATAGTTTAAACCCCTTCTCTCTTCACTTCCGGCCCCAGCCCTCCTTGGCAGGCTGGCTGGGGGAGCAAAAGGGGGGGCATCTTCAAAAGCCTCCCCTTCCCCAGCTGGCATGCCAAGATGGGCTGGGGGGCGGAAGTGAAGAGAGAAGGGGTTTAAACTTTAAACCCCTTCTCTCTGGAGTCACTCCATTCTATTCTATGGCCCCTGGAGCCTAAGAGCAGGGTTTGGGGCATAATGCCATAGAGTCCATTTAGAGATCAGCAGTAATAGTGGAAAATCTCCAGCTACCACCTGGAGGCTGGCAACTGTACAATACATGGTTAGATTGACAGCAGCATCATGTGACTGATTGTCATTTGGTCTTTCATAAGGCCAAGTTCAGCCATTTATCCTGGCCAAAGGTCCTGCTTCAGGGGTGAAGAGGCAGTTGGGCATGCTCCCTTATTAGCAGATCATATATTTCAATAGAAATGGCACAGGTTGCTAAAGTCTATCTACACACATGAACCCTGCACTCAGTTCATTCATTTCAGTATGTTTCTTTCAGCCCATGCTTCCTACCGTCCATCAAGGAGCATTCAAACAGCAGAGCACAGCTAGATGAGATGCAAGAGAGTGAGGCTTTACCTCCCTTCACCTTTGGACCAGTGTCAGGTTTTGGGGGCAGAAGTGTCAAAGCCCCCCCCTCTGCCCACCACCTGCCTCCAACTTACAGCATTATTCCCATCCACCAATTTGTATGCCCCATACCTGCCTGTGCATCCTTTCGCTGCTTACTCACAAGTCCTCCCACTTTGCACACTTACAGCTGTGCAAAGTCTTTTCCCCCAGTGGTGCCAGGCAGTGTGTGACAAGGGGAGCTACTGTTGTGACTGGCAAAAGCACCACCACCACACCATGAGATCAACCTTGCCCCAGCACTGCTGGGCAGCACATCCAACCAACAGTGTGGGTGGTGGAGTATAGTAGATAGGGGGAAAGGTGCACTGACAGGTGGCAAGACAGGTACATGGGCAGGAAGGTAACAGCAGTGGGCCCTGCTAGAAGCCAGGGGCCTTGGCAGCTGCTCTACCTTGGGTTATGCTGATGCCAGCCCTGCTTCAACTTCATTCTTTAGGGTTTTAATTTAAATATTCCTACATCAATGCAGCTTTATACATGAAGCACACTGGGATTTTTATTTGCTGCTTTAGAAAGAGGAAGAATTGCATGAACTAGGTCTCTGCATTATAAGTGGCCTTCTGTAATTCCTTATGGTACAAAAACAATTCACGTCTTTTACTTCTTCCTTAGATGAAGAAAAGAAGGTACTTCATGAGAAAAAAATTACTTCTGAAATTAAAAAGAAAGGTAGGCTATTTGATGACATTTGCCACTAATAGACATTAACTATCTCAACTAACTGCTACCTTTAAAAGTGAGAAGGGTGAGATCCAGACAGAAACTTTTTTCTGGTGGCCCACAGTGGCTAGGGTTTCAAGGCAGGTGACTGGGGGGACATGGGGGCTAGCTGTCAGTGATGGTGTGATGTCACTTCTGTGAAATATCTGGAAGTGATGTCATGCCTCTCTAGGAATCATCAGAAACTCTATGGTAAAACTAGGCCGAGCACCGAAGAATAGATGATTTTGAATTGTGGTGTTGGAGAAGACTCTTGAGAATCCCTTGGTCTTCAAGGAGATCAAATCAGTCAATCCCAAAAGAAATCAACCCTGAGTGTTCCCTAGAAGGCCAGATAGTGAAGCAGAAGCTGAAATACTATGGCCACCAAATGCGAAGGGAGCACTCACTGGATAAGACACTTATGCTAGGAAACATTGAAGGTCGAAGAAGGGGATGGCAAAGGATGAGATGGTTAGACAGTGTTATCGATGCAACAAACATGAAATTAAGCAAACTCTGGAGGACCGCAGAAGACAGGAGGGCCTGGTGCGATGTGGTCCATGGGGTTGTGAAGAGTTGGACTCGACTGTGTGACTGAACAACAACAACAACAAAACTGCAGAGTTCCCATTGGTTTCTAAAGAGGACAGATATCAGTTCCATGTTTTTCCTGGAAGTGACACCATGCCATCAGCACAACAGCCATTTGTAATCCCCCCCCCCTGCTGCCGCTCCAACTGGTGGCAGAAAACCAATGCCACGGGTGAAGGATCTATTGCTCCCACTGGCTCTCAGAAGCCCTATTTTCAACTTATTTTCAATTAATTAAATAACCAGTTCCTTAAATCCAAGGTTCATTTTCTTTTAACGGGTTAAAATCTAGCATTTTAATGGCATTGCCGAATCTTCTTTGCTTGACACTTTAGTCCTGGGAGGAGTGAATGTAGGGCAAGTCCTTCGGCATCATGCAAGTCCTTTGGCACCTGTGGTGCAACTGCTGTCTTCCTAAGCCTTGCTTTATTGCTAGAATAAGGTACAGCCAGCCCTCTCAGGAATGTTCTATGTTGAGTATGCATCTAGTAGCTAGTTGTGGGAATGTAAAGAGGTGTTTTCAACTCTCTCTTGGTAATTGCAGGCTTACCTGTTGTCTTCTTAGTAACTGGTTAACAACAACAGCAGTAACAACAACAACAACAACAACAACAACAACAATAATAATAATAATAATAATAATAATAATAATGTTTTCCTAGTGGATAAAACTAATTATTAATGTTAGCAGCTGAACTATAGTGGTTAAATAGCAACAATAGTTTAACTACATAGTCTGAACTACCATTAATAAAGTAGGTGTAATTACCACTCTACTCAAACTACTGTCATTGCAGGGATTTGCTTAAACTCTCTTTAAAGAAAAGGAACTACCAGTAATAAAGTAGGTGTAATTACCATTCTACTTGAACTACTGTCATTGCTACTGTCATTGCAGGGATTTGCTTAAACTCTCTTTAAAGAAAAGGACGGCTTGTTGTGTAGGCAGCACCACAGGGTGGATTCAAATGGCCATGTGTCCGCATGCATATGATTTTCCCTTTAAATTGGATGACACAGAGATTGGTCTACATGGAAGTGATATCTATGAAATTTCTTACAATATGAAGCTTCCAAATTTCACCCTGTTTCCAAAAAAATCCCTCAATACACTGAGAATGGCTATGGTAAATATTAGATGTTCATGCTTTATCAACTGCTACACACAAAAGGCACAAATATCCAGTTCATATATTTCCCACATTAAAGGTCCTGTTCCAGTGGTGGAAGAGCAAGCTCCCTTTAATAACTATCACATTGCAATGTGTGCATACTGTTGGCAGAGTGTGGATGTGCAGTAATGTGGAGCACAAGCTGTTTAAAGAATAAAGTTGGTTTATTAAGAAGAAAACAAACTTTGTAAGAAAGAAAAAAGAGAAAGAGAAGTCTGTCTAACCAGTTAGGAGGCAGCCAGTAACAAACAGTTCTCAGCAGGAGCAGAAAAGAGCCCTAACTGAAACAATCAGGAGACAGGAAGAAAACTATTAAAAAAAATAGGAAGCCCCTAATCTCGATATGCTAACTAGTTGTTCTCTCTGCTGCCCCCAAAGGATGTTCTTGTCATTTTCTTTATCTATGCACAATAGACTTTGCATATTCCAATGCATATCTCTATGCAGAGGATGCCACATTGTGAGATTCTGCCCCTCTTCTTGAAGAGGAAGAATTACTTGGATTGGTACTCTGTCCAATTGGCTGCCTAGTACAATTCCTAATGATACAAAGCCAGCTAACCATTTTGTATTCATGTCTCAGAAGCTGAAGAAGAAAAGAAGGTAATCAATGAGAAGAAACTTATTCTGGAAGAAGAAAAGAAGGTCATCCATGAGAAGAAATTTATTCTTGAAGAAGAAAAGAAGGTAATCCGTGAAAAGAAACTTATTCTTGAAGAAGAAAGGAAGGTAATCCATGAGAAGAAACTTATTCCTGAAATTAAAAAGAAAGGTAGGCTATTTGAAGTTTTTTTCAAACCTTTTGCTTAGAGGACTTGGATAAAGAATAATGCACACTGTGTGCACAGCTTCTTTGGATGCATTTCAGTGACCAAATAGGCACATGATGATCACTTGAAATTTGTAAACACATAGGTTGCTCTATAAAGAAGCCGTTTATGTGTAGAGGCTTAGCTTGCAGAACTTCTCATTCCCCCTCTGCTTCCAAAACTGTATGTTCATGATGGCTGATCACAGTGTGTGGATACTGATGTAACATAAGGTGCAAGTCATGGATTGCCCTTCATATGGAACAGCCTCAGGGACTCATTTTTCATCTGAATATTTTCTAAGGCCCCTTTTAGAACTGATCCAGGCAAGTGATTCTGTTCTGGTGGTAAATGAATAGGTGATGATATTCCCTTCAATCCCTTTCCTAATGTAACATGTTACAGATAGCCATGTCTTTTAATGGTCAAGTGTGTGATTTTTGTCCTGCTTTTTTTAGGCAAAATTTTTCAGTGATTGGGTTAGTCAACTGACTATTGTAATTCCTGATACAAATTGACTGACTTTGTATTTATGTTTCAAGTGGAAGAGGAAAAGAAGGTAACCCATGAGAAGAAAATTAAAAGGAAAAGTAGCCTATTTGATGGCATTTAGAAGGTTTTAAGAACATGAATTGTGTGGCTGATTGCCATTTGAATATTTCATAATACCCAGTTCACACATTTCCTGGGTCATTTACCCTGTTCCAGTCATGGAGGAACAGGTGGTCATGCCTTCTTTTATCTAATCCTCATATGCAGAGGATACCAAATTGGATGATTTTTGTCCCCTATTTTGAAGGGGGAGAATTGCATGATTTGGGCCTCTGCCCAGTCAGCTGCCTCCTATAATTCTATAAGATACAAAACCAATTTATCATATTTGTATTCATGTCTCAGAAGTGGAAGAGAAAAAGAAGGTAATCCATGAGAAGGAAATTATTCCTGGAATTAAAAAGAAAGGTAAGCTATTTGATAGGATTTGCCAGATTTTCATTGACATGAATTATATGGTGGATTGCCATTTGACTCTTTTAAAGGGTTTAGTTTCATATATATCTTGCATCATTTATTCTGTTCTGTTCTGGCTAATACACACACATGCGCACACACAACCTCTGCTATGTTGGCTGCATACTATAATTCCTTAAAATACAAAACCAATTTGTCATTTTTATTGCTATCTTAGAAGTGGAAGAAGAAAAGAAGTTAACCCATGAGAAGAAAATTATTCCTGAAATTATAAAGAAAGGTAGGCTATTTGAAAATTTGCTAGACTTTTATTGATTATAGCTTATATGGTGAATTCTGTCTGTACAGATCGTTTCTTAGGATAGATTCAAGTGGCCAAGGGACAATGAGAACGTAATTTGACCTGATGACATGGAGAATGGTCCACATAGAATCATAGCATTAGAAGGGACCTTGCAGGTCATCTAGTCCAATGCCCTGCACTCTGCGGGAGGAGCCATGCATGTATTGTCACTGTCCATGTTGAACTTATAGCAGCACAATACACCTTTTTAATACATTGAAGTCAATGGGCTTAGATGGGTATAATTCAGGATTGTGCTGCAATTCTCCTCCTTGAATTCTAATTCAAGTTTAAATGAAATGGATTGCCAAATCAGGTCCTGAACTTCCAGTATGGCCCATTAAAAAAAAACGCAACCCTTGAATTATTACTTGCAATAATAGTGTACTAAGTGCTGGCAGGTCACGTAGTTAGTTTCAGTTCACAGACAGCTGGGCAAATCAACCAATGTTTGGAATTAAATCAGCAGTCACATGAATGGCTGTCATCAGGCTCAATCTACAGTGCAATCCTATGCAGTGTTACTCCAGTCTAAGATCATTGCGTCAAGAGCATCCTATAGGATGTTTATATGTTGTATAATGTTGTATAATGTTTTAAATGGTTTTAAAAATGTTTTTATGTGTGGGCGTATGCCTGTCTGTGACCCGCCCTGAGCCCGCTTTTGTGGGGAGGGAGGGCTATAAATTGAAATAAATAAATAAATAAATAAATTTATTAGATCCTATGAGATGGCAGTCAGGAACGCAAAGAGAGGCTTCTATGCGACCAGGATTGCATCTGCGAGCTCATGTCCAGCCCAATTATTTAGAACAATTCGGTCATTAACGGCTCTGCCACAGGGCAGGCAAAATGCTAGGGAATTGGATATTGGTTGTGAGGCATTTGTGAGCTATTTCGCAGATAAGGTCTTGGCGCTCCGCCGCGACCTCCCCGCCACAGTTGAGACAGTGAGCGAACTCGAGGCCCCTTGCATGTCTTCGGTTCCCGGTTTAGAGTGCTTCGACCTGCTCAGCCTGGAGGAAGTTGACAGATTGCTCGCATCGGTGCGCCCAACCACATGCAACCTTGATCCGTGCCCCTCCTGGCTCATTAAAGCGGGTCATGAGGGGTTGCGAGGTGCTCTCAGGGAGACTGTCAACATGTCCCTTTCGGAGGGACAGTTCCCAGAGGCACTTAAGGAAGCGATGGTCCGCCCTCTCCTGAAAAAACCTTCTTTGGACCTGGCCGAATTGGCTAACTATCGTCCGGTGTCCAATTTGCCCTATTTGGGCAAACTCATTGGGAGGCGGAGGCGGTACAGTTGCAGGGCTTTCTGGATGATGCTTCCATCCTAGATCCCTTCCACTCCAGCTTCCGCCCGGGGCATGGGACAGAAACAGTACTGGTCGCTCTTACTGACGACCTCCGACGGCATCTGGATTGAGGCGGTGTGGCAGCGCTGCTGTTGTTAGATCTGTCAGCCACATTCAATATGGTCGACCATCAGCTGCTGACCCACTGCCTTGCCGACGTTGGGATCCAGGGGCTCGCCCTTCAATGGCTTGGCTCTTTTCTCCATGGTCGGGGACAAAGGGGGGCGATAGGGGAACAGCAGTCCCGGAGACACCATCTTGAATGTGGGGTGCCTCAAGGGGCAGTTCTGTCCCCGATGTTATTTAACATCTACATGCGCCCCCTTGCCCAGATTGCCCGGAGATTTGGGCTTGGGTGTCATCAATACGCAGATGACACCCAGCTCTATCTGATGTTGGGTGGCTGGTCAGGCTCTAGTCCAGAAGATCTGCACCGGGCGTTGCAGGCCGCGGCTTGTTGGCTCCGACTGAGTCGGCTGAAGTTAAACCCGGTGAAGACGGAGGTCCTGGGCCTAAGTCGGGGTGGTCTGGGGTTGGGGCTCCCTCTCCCGACCTTCAATGGGGTGCCTCTGGTGCCAGTGCCGGAGGTTAGGAGTTTGGGAGTGCTCCTGGACTCCTTGCTAACTATGGAGGCCCAGGTGGCAGCCACTGCCAAGTCAGCTTTTTACCATCTTCGGCTGGTGTGGCAGTTGGTTCCCTTCCTCGACCTCAGTGACTTGGCCACAGTGATTCACATGACGGTCACCTTGAGGCTAGACTACTGCAACGCTCTCTACATGGGGCTGCCTCTGTCGCAAATCCGGAAGCTGCAGCTGGTGCAGAATGCTGCGGCCAGGCTGCTGATGGGTCTTCCTAGTAAGGGACCACATCTGGCCTGTGCTGAAAGCGCTGCACTGGCTGCCAATAGCGTACCGGATTCGCTTCAAAGTGCTGGTTCTTACCTTTAAAGCCCTAAATGGCCGGGGTCCAGCATACCTAAGGGACTGCCTTTCCCCATATGGTCCCCCGCGAGCACTACGGTCTGGGACGCAACACCTCCTGGCTATGCCAGGTCCCAAGGAGGCCAGGCTAGCTGCTACCAGGGCCAGAGCCTTTTCGGTGGCTGCTCCTACCTGGTGGAACGAGCTCCCGGAGGAGATCCGGGCCCTGCGGGACCTTGCACAGTTCCACAGGGCCTGCAAGACGGAGCTCTTCCGCCAGGCATTTGAGTAGGAGCCGCCACTACTATACCATCATT